TTTTTTTTTTTTTTTTTTTTTTTTTTTTTTTTTTTTTTTTTTCTTTACTTTGAGATTCGCTTTTGTGTGAACGCGTTCGTGTATGAAAAAAAAGCTTTGTCTATATCTCCGCACTCGGCTACGTGGACACAATTACCATTATTTTATTTTCGCTGCTTTGATTATTAAAACGTTTTATTTACGCCTCAAGTGTACTTTAGTTGCAATCGAACGTTTTTTTGTTTTTTGTTTTTTGTTTTTTTCATAAAGTTTGTGGTTGTGGACATTGTATTGGATTTTGCGATGAATGCATATTGTATACTATTGATTATTTTTTTTTTTTTTACATTTTCAATATGTATTGAAAATAATTTTTTTTTTACGTATATATGATTTAACGAAAAAACAAAATTTCCGCTGGGATCGAACTGGAATTCTGTCTTGCAAGTTTTATCCTCTGAAAAAAAACTTGCGTCCATTCGCCAAACATCCGCTTGCGGGGGTGAAAAAAACTTTGGCGGTTAAACTTTTGAGCTTATCCAAAAATTTATTTTTAAAGTTGGCCAGGAAAAGAGATCAACGTTTCAATGGCTTTTTCATTTAAAAAGTTGAATAGCTTCTCACGCACGGATTTACTTGTAGATTGGATTCGTACTTTTAATGTGTGTTGTGATCGATGCTGAATATTAAAAAACGCTTTCGGTGGAATAATAAACAGCTTAGAGCTTTCTACGCTTTTATATTTAATGCCATCTGCTTTTATTCCATTTAACAAAAATTGGATTAAACGTGCCACTCTCTCACCTGTGTGGTATTTATGATATATTTCAAACAATTTTCAATACGATCACGCGCCCCAGGCAGATTTAATTATTTTACCGCAGAGCAGGAATAAGTATTTTTTTACTCTCGAATGCTATAAAAGTATAATGGGTCATGATCCTCTCGGGAGGCTGGGGCTGTGAATTTTCAAATAATTTTCGAGTTATGTTGATAGTGGATAAAAAAAAACGAGGTCACAAATTTTAAGTATAGACGACATCAGACATAGAAATAAAAATAAAGGAAAACCGGATTGTTTGATTTTTACATGAACGCCGTTTTATGCGGGTACACCGTTTAAAAAATTTAAATAATTTGAACAAAAGTAATTCTAGAATATTTGCTATTCAAATTTTATTGAAAGTGAATAAAAGTTATTATACTGATGAACAAATTAACTGAAATAAATATGAAAAAAAAAAAAAAAAAAAAAAAAAAAAAAAAAACATTCGAATTATTGAAATTGACCCGGAAAAGGAACTTTCTCTCCAATTGTTGGTATCCCTTGCCACTTTAACTTGATCATAATTCATTAGTTTGGATTTGTTGTTGCTATTTTTACGAAAACTCTCAAAAACCGAAACACTTGTGCTTGCAAGCTTGACGAAGTATTCCACCGAATAGCCATTCTTTGATTAAAATGCCTTCAAATTCGTGCCACTTATTGATCAGATGCATTCTTCGTTCGGAAAGTACAAGCAAACATGCTCATTTTGTTACTCTCCAACTTGAAAATCGTGAGGGGATGAACAAAACGCCCCCCAAGTACGAATATCATCGCGAGTTTTAACGTACCGTACCGCTATTTCACGAGCCAACTAATTAACCTAGCATCTACGGTGATAAAAACGGCCCCGAACTATACGCGGATGTACGTACAACGAAGGGGAGAAAAAGGAGAGTATGAGAGTTTGGCAAAGTAGCGCCATCAATCACAAGCACATTGCAGTCATATGGCCCATACCTCGAATACTGAGAGTACCCTGCGCTCGTGCGAATTATTAACCATCCAACTTCTCGGTCTCTCTCGTACTGTCTTTTTCCTTCTCACAATCGAAAATCAAGCCCCACCGAGAGCAACAGCACCAGCGGTAGTACAAGTACCATAGCTCGAGTGGAGCACGAAAATTGCAGCGAACAAGAGGCCGTTGCGAGCTTATTCGCACACACGCGTCCGCGTACACGTATACGCAAAATTCGTGCTTTCCCGGATCTTATAATCTCTCTCTCTCTCTCTCTCTCTCTCTCTCTCTCTCTTTTGTTCGCCCCGGCACCAGATATAGCTCTGAGAATAATTAATTAGCTCGCTCTTGGGCGTTTGAGCCGCAACACGTACTACCTGATTACCAACGCACCGCAAAACACCACTGCAGAATCTCTGTGTATATGTGCGTACATGGGTGGATGAAGGGCAAAGGAATAGAAGAGCTTGCAGTGAGAGAGTACATGTATATATATAGCTGCAGTGGAATGAAATTCCCGTGGATCCGCAATGTGCGTGTGGGATATTATTGACTGTGCGCTCTGTACTGGGTGTATGCTATCAATTGTGCTTATAGAGCCATTCTTGCTCCTCTTGTGTGTGTGTGTGTGTGTGTGTGTTAATGTCCTTTATTTATCTACCGACTGGTTGAAAATTATAAATTTTGTTTTTATAATAATTGTTATTATTACCCAGATGGGTTGGTGCATTGGATTTTACTTGGATGAGGGATATTTCGCGTTATTTGACATGGGTAAAAGATCAATGCGATAACGCGATACGCGTTGGCGTACACTTGATTAGCATGGGATTGCAATATTTTCCAGTGTCAAGTTTAACGTAATGTAGCCGTACGACGGCAAGGCTCGACGCAAATTACATTGATGACGCGCATTTCCATAATCGAATTTCTTGTAGGCGTGTAACAATGTTACGCGTGGAATCGGAAAACGAATCGAATATTCTCTCTCTCTCTCTCTCTCTCTCTCTGCCCGCTCACGCCCCGATGTAGTATAAATTTCGCGCTCAGCTTAATTAATGTGGTTCATCGCGAGTGACAGTTTTCGGTTTGATTTAATTGTCAATTACCGCGGCAAATGGGTTAGCAATTGGTAATCCATGGGTGGTTGTATGCCTCTGTGTCTATATGTGTGTTTTGTTTTTCGAACTCGTACATTACGTACTATCTTATCAATACTCAATGAAGACGTGATGGAGAGAAAAAGTTTTTTTTTTGTCACATGAAGCCCTTGTGTTTCAAAATTCAGTGTTAAGTCGTTTTCTTCGCATATTTAATGTTATTTTTAACCTTTTTATAAAATCACACGTATATCTATACTGTGCAATCATTTTATTCCTCGACATCTACAATACAAAAAAAAAGTAAAATAACGGTGAGCTGAAACAAACAATATACACAGACTCGAACAAGATACACAGCCTAAAATAACAATGAAAATCCACGATGATACCATACGATTATACATATACATACTTATGCATACAAATGATGGTGTAAATAATGATACAATTTTTTACTTCAATTAAGTAATAAGTCATTTTATTATTTTTATTTTTATTTTTTATTTTCAAGATGAATGAAAATTCATTACTTTTTTTGTAACTTACCAAGAGAATTTAATATTAAATATTTTTGTAAATTGTAATTAGATGCCTCAAGTAGCCTTATTTTTTTAATATATTTTAGTAAAGAAACTACGTTTACCTATTACTTTCTTGGTTTATACTTGAACTATATAATTAATTAAGTATGCACGCCTGTTCAATTCAATTTCATTAATAATATGAAATCTCTCGTTTCGTGATTGTGAATAAAAAATGTTTTGAATTTATTCATTGGTTTAAAAAATTGTTTTGAAAAAAACACAGTTTTTCTTAAACAATTTTTTTTTTATTTTAATTTATTAAAATTGACGAAGAATTTTAATTAGTAACCTACTATTTTCAATATTTGTATTGTTTTTTTTTCTAACATTCTTATATCATAATTTCTAATTTTTTACATTGATTTTTAACTGTAAATATAATAAAAACAATTAAAAGAAAATATATTTAAATAAATGAAATAGATCGAATTAAATATCTGGAAAATATGGGACTTTTTTAGGTAGCACATGAGGAAGCGAATACGTAAAAATTGTTTCAGTTGTTTTACGTGAATTTTTAATAGCTAGCCGATAATTTTTATTGTACAAACTTGTTTAAAAGGAGAATTTAGTTGCATATAGATCCAATGAGATAGATGAATTAGTGTGTAACTAATGTCATACATAAAATACGTGTACGCGCAGTGTATATTAAAAAATATGTATTTTAAACCAAGTGAATTGCAGGGCCTACCGACATTAAAACTCGTGATTAAAAAAAACATAAATACATCGTTGATTTTATTGATTTCTCTCAATTATTTAGTAGTAAAATTTTCTGGATCTCCCTCTAAAAATTTTAAGGACTACTAACACACATCAATGTAAAATGTACATAGAATATTCAAGAACACAAATTTTTCAGAGTACATAGCTAAAATCTTTACAAAATTACAGTTGTTTAAATGTGTTCCTAAAAATTTGCATTAGATAAAATCCTAAAAATGTTACGGTAACATGATTATACTCTAATTTTTTAAATTACAAATTAAATTTTAAAAACAATGACGTAAAGTTTAACGTGAAATTCAAACTTATATCAATTACCAGTTGTAAAAATTTGTAAAGAAAAAAAAAAAAAAAAAAAAAAAAAAAAGACGCTATAAAACACGTACAGTAGTATGACAGCTGCGGGGTATTAAACATGACCTTGGGTGGGCCTGTATACACCTGTATCGTATACCTACAGCGGCAATGGGCAGATGTCAGAGCACACCAGGTTTGGTGGAATCCAGGGACCGTGTGCCCCTGGAGGAGATGGTCGTATCGTCGTTGGATGCACGCCCGACGACGCGATCCCTCTTCTCGCCGAGCCCGAGTCCCCGAGGTCCACTGCGGCCCATCACACCGGCCACCCTCCAGACCAGCGGCACGAGAATGATGACGATGACGACGTCGCTGTCAACAAGCCCCGCCGCGACTCAACAACAGGACGACCACCAGCACAGGCCCAGCCAATCCAGCCCCGCGAGTGGGACCAGCAGCCGAAGGAGCAGCGAGGATGCGACCACCAGAGCAGCGGCTCACTTGGCTGCCGGGACCGGACAGTTTTCTACAGGACGACAGTCCACGCACTCGGGTGAGACGGCTCGCTCGAGTACCTTGCCCATCTTTCATTAGTCACATAGCCCCCCGCCATTCACTTCATTGTCCACATTGTGAAACCTGTGTATGGAATAAATCGTTCGTTTCGATCTTTAGCTTTTTTTTTCTTCTTCCTTTTGTTTCTCTTACGTTTCTATTTTTCGAGTGACTGAAATACATGTGCCAACATGCCTCATGAGTCACGCAAAACCTTGTTTACATGTTTTTTTTTTTTTTTTTTTTTTTTACATCTGGAACCTTGTCATTTAGTGACTTGCTGTACGTATAGTCTTTTGGTGACCCTGTGTAAATTAGACTAGTATAACCAATATCACGACTTATCCGATTGTTCGTTTGCATGGTAATTTTTTTTTATTATTTTTTTTTTTTTAGATCAACTCTCCTTTTGTATAGTTAAAATTATTACAAGTAGACGTTAAAAGGATCATCCATTTATTCGTACAGTATTTAGGACGTTTTTACAAAAAGCATGAAGCAAAACAGTTTTTACGCGTGCAATGTCTTAGCGGTGCAGCGATGATTATTAGGTCGAGGAGGAGCCAGGAAAATTGTCTTAATCATCCGAAACTTCTCGAAAGTTTTCTCCCCACACCAAGTGTAATTCGGTTCGAGCTTGAGATTGTCGGCGAATACTTGGGCGCATATTGCGGCAGCGCTAATTAATCTGCTCCTTTGGAATTTTTATCAATCCACGGGATAAATTCCAATGGCTCCCTTAAAATAAACTTATATACATCCACAGCTTTCTCTCTCTCTCTCGACTATGGCCCGATAGATACTCACTGCAACTATAGTCTTTAATTCTGTTGGAATGATTTTTGCTTAATGAAAAAAACCCTGACAGTAGTAACATCCAAGTAGCGATAAGACAATAAGGAATAAAAACAGACGTTTACCGAGTAAGCTAGGAACATCAAACTCAAATTTCGGATGGATGCAAGTGCACTCACACGTAAGAACATAATCAATGTTGATACGCGCAGTACAATGAGAAGATGCACACAATAACCGCATAAATAAATGAAAGAGGCTTCAACAACGCGCACAATACGCAGTACCAGAAGTCTGTCGATAACAATCAGCTCGAATCCAACGTATGGTAGTCGTACATATACACACATATAACCATTCCCGAAGCTAAGAGAGCCTCCACTAATGCTGGAACAGCTGCTAATTACTCGGATTTTCTCCGGGAAAAAAGGAGATGGAGATCCGATGCCGGGCGACGTTACGCGTCAAGGCTAGGAAAAAATTGGTTTTTCATTGAGGACCGCGCGAATCGTTGATCAACCAGTGTCTGGCCTTTTTCGATGAAAGGGTCTTTCCTTACCCTTATCTCTTGTCACTCTCCCTCCTGTTGTCAAGTTTTTGTTTTTAGCAATTTCTTTATGGCATCCTGCACACCGCTGCACCGACCGTTTTATTTTCTGATAAAATAGGACAAAAGCCTTTAGTGCGGGACTTAAGTACAAAATATAAAGTTACAGAAATATAGAGGAAGAGAGAGAGAGAGAGAGAGAGAGAGAGAGAGAGAGAGAAACAACAAACTGGGCCAGTTACGTTTGAATGAGAATGAGAGTATTTCGTGATGGAGATGAAAAAAGGAAGTTATTTTTCGTGTGATTGTGAATGGTTTGAAAAATGTGAAGCTCATACTGTTTAAAATCTCGACAGATGAATTTTCGTATCGCTTTTGATGTATACAGATAATGCTTTGAATTTTTTCTCATTTACTCTGCTTGTAATAGTTTAGAGGTCACCGTTTTCAAAGAAAAACGCATGAAAGAATCCAAGTGCTGCATGATTGTATATTGAGATGCATCGATGTTAAATACACTACAGTATTAGAAACTCTATAATACTTCTATTTTCTCAAAAAAAAAAAAAAAAAAAAAAAAAAAAAAAAAAANATTTATTATTTATATTAAATGATGTGCAACTTCAAAACAACGTAAGCTCAACGCGCGTCTGGGACTTGCTCTACTCAACAATTTATCTTTCACTACTTGAAATTTTTAATCATCAACCTTAGTGTCTTCAAATTTTACTTTATTAAAATTTATCATATAACTCTACGTTGATTTAACATTTAATTTTTTTTGATACGTACTTTTACTAATGTTATACTTGAAGTTTTTAGTTTTCACCTTTGTTATTTTAAAAATAGTTTGTAAAAACAACTTCATATTTTCGCAGCTCAAACCTAAGCCACTCTAGCTCCCAAAGTACATTATTATTCAACACTTTTTTTTTTACAAAACACATTCGTATCGTTAAGAAAGTGTACAAACTTATTAATTTAGTACAAGTTGAAACTTTGTTCTATATGGATGATAGATGCAAATTTCTTTGAATATACAATAAATCTTTCAAATCGTATTTCGTAAATTCAGTAAAATTAATAGTATTACCAAATTTAAAAAAAATTAACTAAAATTATATTACCAAACAAAGTTTTTGTAAAAAGTTCGAGCCAATGCATAGTATTTAATCTTTCATCCATAAACTTTAAACAAACTTTCAATTCCATTTTAAGAAAGTTTATCATCGCAAAGTTAAATCCATTAGACAATCAACTCTATGAGATATAGATCTTAATCTCGCATCCGTTATCCCGTAATACATTAACATGCAACTTTGATTAAAAATTAGATTACATCATCATACTCACTACCAACGTTTTCTTTGAATTAATTGATTTGTTGTAAAAGAAAATCCACTCATTTCCTAAAAGTCCACGGAGAAAAAAAAAAGCATCGACTCGTAATTTAGTGCAAAACTTTCTTAAGATCAGCTTCCCCTTCTTCACTGCCCCATCTCTAAGCAAAACTTTCTCGGCACCCAGAGCCACGGTAAATTTTCCTTTCTACAGCCCCAACATGTACAACGAACAGACAGCAAACCCTTCGATCGACTCTCTATATGTACTGTACACCCAAACTAATCTCTCTCCTTCGCATCCCCGTACAAGTATACTTTTTTCTTTCCCCTGCCCCACTTGTGTTCAACCCATTACTCGACCTATACATCCATGAAATATAAATACTTGTACGTAATTAATAAATTATGGATTACGTATTCATACAATACATTGAGTTTTATTGCATTTACATACATATTCAAAAATACACTATAATTCCTTTCACACACACGAGAAAAAAAACACAAGAACAATGGGTAGTAGCTCCTCGTTCACCTACTGCACGTAAATCGTAGAGTATTTAATTTTTACGTGATTCCCAACTAAGGAATGAAGTAGTGTTATTCCCGTCACGTTCTGCTGCAGCTACCTCTCTCGTCCAGTTCAGCTTACTCTACGACTTTCCCTGCTTTACTTTTATTTTACTATTTTTTTTTTTCTCGTCTGCAAACGTAAGTTTAGTTTCGTAATGACCCTTGAATTGCACAGCCATGTAAGGTATTTTTCACCACCTCTCCGAAACCTTGCCTCTACATGTAGATAATTAAATCTACACCTGTGCTACTGTTTCATACATCCTTTTTTTTATTCTCATAGAAAATATATATATATGTTTTATTAACTTTATCTAG